ATCGGGAAAAATATGCAAACTTACCGCTTTAACACTCCTGATAAGATTTAAAGACGTACATAGCAATGATTTGTAAATATAGGTGTAGACAGAAACTGTGGACATGAACTAGGAAGTCACAGCCACATTAATTGATATAAAGATTATATTAGAGGTATAAATTACCATATATAGATACTCTTGTGTACATTGTTGTTTGATTCACGGGCATTAAAGAAATGTTGATTTTTTTTATTTTTTTTATAGCAGATCTGTATCTATTTTATACAAAATAACTTTTTTTTGCTACTTAAAGAGTTGATAATTTGTCAACGTACATGGCGAACTAGAATACTATTAAGAAAGTTGAGTTAATCCATTTCATTTTCACAATACGCTAGCATTGCCATAGTCAATAGTGTCAGTAAGGATCACAAATATAACACGGATTTCTGTCCACACTCATGAAACTCCTGCTGCCAACATCAATTCCAACATCAACTCTATTTCTAGTCGGTAGTATTTACAAGAGGAAATTGGAGATCTGTTAATTCATTTGGTCGAACCCTTCACAATAAAACTCTGACGTCTTTATTACGTGGGGAGGTCAAGGTTAATGTTAATCCTCACTGTAGCGGACTGATTCAAATCATATGTGACAGACTAACTAACCGGTCAGTTGACGTTGACAAAACAACGGCGGCAGCCATATATTTGCGGAACCTAATTTCCATGGACTTTAATATCCGCTCGAGAATTACGGTCAGAGACGCATACAATACATATGTACCTTCCATGACGTGTTAACTAATTAATGATTTCCGAATATCTCATTTTTACGCCGTCTTTTCGGCTACATGACAAACAAACGGCGTCGTTGGTTAGAATTTAGGACTACCTGAAATGTCTCGAATTAGGAAGGTTTACGCAATATAATATATTATGCATTGACTTGTGTGGCGTGTTACGGTCTAGCAAGTGTGTGAAATTTGCGCTATGTTTCCATATAAGCATTGCTGATGATAATGGATAGAAAAAATGTGCACCTATCACTATATATTTCCTGGTATTGCTATGAGCCTGACGTGACCATCTCCGGCTTAATATGGGATCTGCTTCCGTGCTTTTCGCGAGGAAGGAACGGCTTAACATTTAGAATCTTTCTTTCCTGTCTGGTTACTTTCACTAGCTATGTCACGGCTTTTAACCACTGTACTTAGAGTCCATTCAATACAGACAGGTTGTTAGAACTGATCCCTGTTTCAATAAAAAATTATGTTCTAAAGTATATTATCGAAATTTTTCTGCTGAACCTGAACAGGTATCGCAGATCACATATTGCCTCATTTTGATCGATTTTGAATTGGAATGCCGTTTCCAATGTAGATATCACATGCAAAAAATTCTTGCCAAGAAATGATTGATTTTTTATCGATATATACAGATATATACATGTATAAAGTGTGAAAAAAAATTTACCAATCCATGAAATATCAATATGTATATAAATTTATTATGATTAAATTCACTGTAAATTGCAGCAGAGTTCACAAAAAAAAAAAAAAAAAAAAACCTCCTCGAAGCAAATCGACGCATTCGGAACACCTCTTAGTAAATCATGATGTAGGAGGTGTGCCGTTGGAATTTCAAGGATCACTGCAGGCCATGACGTGAAATATTCGTCCTATTGAAAAAACCTACCCAGTTAGAAATAGAGGAAGCAATTTTGAGTCGTGTTCTATGAGCGGGAAGTAATTACCGGAAACGGTCGACAGCCCGGTAGCAAGTATTAATGTATAAATAATCATCTTATTAGGGTTTTTTTCCCTGTAATTCTGCATGTTTGTCACATTTTCATTCATGTTCTTTGTGTTCGTCAGCTCTTCTTGTATCTATCAAGGAACGTCTTGTTCATCCAATGTTTTGTATGTACGATGTCGTTGATAGGCAAAACACAATACTGGTAAATCTAGACGTTTGCATTATCAATAGCACCAGGAATTAGCACTGGTTTACAATGAGTTTCGTTCCAGGTTTTAACATCTGTCGTTACTCAATTATCGATTGCATATTGCATTCATCATAACACTCAAATGGAAATGTCACATGCACAACATCATCATGAACAACAACAAATCATATGAGTAGCTTTATGGGATTAAAAAAATAATCCATGTTTAAAAAAATTTAAATTCTAGCAAAATTCACGAGCAGTGTCTGATTAAGATATTTGAACTCTTTCTGGTATCATAATTTCATAAAAAGTGTTTTCATCATTTACATTTTTCTCAGTCGCCTTCCAGGCTACAACAATGTGGTACATCACTGACGACAACTCGATGGATGAACGGTTGTATACAGTCCAATCAACAATTTGTTTGACTTATCAAAATGTGAACGATGCATTAAAGGATGTTGTTCGCTTGTCTTTTGTGCAATTTCTTTTTTAATTCGCTCAAAATTATTGTTTATCTAATTGAAATACTGATGGCACAGTTGTCGGTGTTTTGGACTTCAAAAAAAAAAAAAAAAATTCTTAGTCGTCAGTTAGGTGTCGTATATCGTAAAATATGGAACTGTGCAATATGTCAATGCACTTGGTATACGGCGTTCATTTAAAGGACAGAAAGCAAAAATGACTTGAACATGGACTTGAAATACAAAAAAATTGATAATGATCGATATCAAACGGTAGGAACACATTTTGAATCAAGTATTAATCCATCTGAATTGTTTATAATTTATCGATAATGATAGTATTGTAGACATTGATCGTTCATACTAAAGACGTTCAGTAAGCCCCGTATGTTGTTTGTCATGTGACATTGTGTGACCCAATTACGTTATTTTACATCAATCATTTATAACTAAGATTATAATACCTGTCAATTTCACAGTCAATTATTTGATACGACCTTTTCCTTCCTCTAATGAAGCGCTGAATGTAACTACCGCAACCGCAAGCTTTTCACCAGAAACCGGATATGTAATCAAATATTTCTCGTGAAATAAATAGGTCATCTCGGTGTAAATTTAGAAGAGAAATTGAAACAGGATATTTCCTAAAATGACCAGGAGAGTGATCATGAAGCGTACTGAGATTACATGTGATTAAAGCATCTGTTTAGAAATACTATCAGACAGAATTTGACATTTCTTAGAATTCAATACTGTGAAGAATGAAGAATTGAGTGAATAATCCGTACAGATATAGCAGGTATATGAAAAAGACAGAACCACTTCTCATTGTACGTGTAAGTAATGAAATGTCATTGTTATTCGATTTCTTTAGATTAAAGAATAAGAAGTCTTAATTAATGCATTAATCAAATCGGCAAACGTTGAAACATATTTGTGTCATTAAACTTTGGGGCCTATCACCGTTAGGTTCTAGATACATACTATTTTTATTGTCATCGAATTAAAGCTGTCATTATTATCATAATTCATAATTATATACTAAAACATTAATAATTTTCGTGCGACAGGTAAAATTCGTATCTTTATTTTATTTTATTTATTTATTTATTTATTATTATTTTTGTAAATTTAAGCTAGCTGTCTATTACTAAAAATTAGTCAATAATATTTTTCTTTCCAAAGTGTTGTTTGTGGTTCAAAGTAGCGAAGCAATATCTTTTCCCGTGTATAATTTCTATAAGTCATTTAGATGGTGGCGCTATTCCAGCGTTGTTTGGTGTCAGAAAATTGGGAGGTCATCGGGCAAAGAGCTTTCTTAATATTAAACACTTGATTTGTAAATGATGTGTGTTGTTCCCTGAAATGCCAACAACACGAGCTATTACGATAACGGCGTTATCTCCCTTCTTCTCATTCTGATCTACTAGAGTTACTTCCCTTTGCTTCAATCTGTCTGATGGTATAGCGATACGATGCATCCTTCTAGACCATTTCTTTCACAACATCAATGTTCTCTTTCTGTTCCCGTTATCTAATAGTGTTTCTCTTCTACTGTTGTTAAATCTGCTGAACCAATTGTTAAAAAAGAAATGACAGAAATGTCATGATTACTGAATAACTCTGCACGTGTCTGCTCAGATGTATGTTTTAAGAACAGTGAATTTTTACTCTCAACCTTCATTTTAACATTCAGAATAGTGTTGCTATTCAGAAAAGCATGATTTGTTAAATTCGGATAGAGTAATGTTGCAATATTGCAAATGTACTAATGTTTAAGTGTTTTTCGAAATGTAACAAAAAGCTATGTAATTTATATTGCAGTTTCTTAAGAAGGCCTTATATTGCCATGATCTATTGAAAGGACCTCATATTTAACGAAATTATCAAATATCCGACGAGATTTGAAGAAACATCAAGTCATTTATGCAATGTTCGAGATTGCAGGTGAAGGACTTTGTTGATGGCCCGCAATCGCAAGCCTCGTTTTAACACATATACGATCTTTAGAAAATATGTTTCATTATAGGTCAAGTGTACCTTTTCTGGATCTTATGAACGTTTTCTATAATTAGTTCGGATTTTTCTCAGCCGCACTCAATGTTTCTATGGCCATTAACATCTAGTCCAAGAAGGACGAAACGGCTGTATGGCGCAGTTTTGCTCTATTCTAATAATTCTAAAATTGTATTGAAAGGAGCTATTCACTTACAAATCATCCACACTCCTGACTAAGAGTTTTTGTTTATGTTGTATCCTCTCGGAGGATGACACCTAGTTTTCTGGGAGTCAGTGAAACGATCTAAATTCTCACACGGCATATCGTGATATTATGTATGATTGATTCTAACACTTACTGAACACTTAAATTTATCTTTATTCATGAGAACGAATAACTGTTTAGGTTTCTAATTTATTACGCTTAGCTTTCCAAAATCGACGCGTCATGGCCAGGTCTACACGAGTTATCTACCGTTATTTGTTCTTATGTCTAACCCACTTTATGTAAATATCTACAGTGACGTGTAAAACAATGTAAATCGTCAGTCATAAGTTAGGAAATGTTTTGTAATTAACCATAACCATTCTTCATTAATTTTCAGATGGTGCTGACTCTTACACCACCGACTCCCGACTCAAATCTGACTCCGGCATCATCCACAGAGCGAAAATCAAAACAATTAAGATCACATTTGTGGTAGTGTCTGGTATGTATATATACTGTTAATACTGACACAGTGTCTGGTATGTATATACACTGTTAATACTGACATAGTGTCTGGTACGAATATACATTGTTAAGGCTGGCATAGTGTCTGGTATGTATATACACTGTTAATACTGACATAGTGTCTGGTATGTATACTCACTGTTAATACTGACATAGTGTCTGGTATGTATATACACTGTTAATACTGACATAGTGTCTGGTATGTATACTCACTGTTAATACTGACATAGTGTCTGGTACGAATATACACTGTTAAGGCTGGCATAGTGTCTGGTATATATATACAATGTTAAGGCTGATATAGTGTCTGGTATGTATATACACTGTTAATACTGACACAGTGTCTGGTATGTATATACACTGTTAATACTGACACAGTGTCTGGTATGTATATACACTGTTAATACTGACACAGTGTCTGGTATGTATATACACTGTTAATACTGACACAGTGTCTGGTATGTATATACACTGTTAATACTGACATAGTGTCTGGTATGTACACTCACTGTTAATACTGACATAGTGTCTGGTATGTACACTCACTGTTAATACTGACATAGTGTCTGGTACGAATATACATTGTTAAGGCTGATATAGTGTCTGGTATATATATACAATGTTAAGGCTGATATAGTGTCTGGTATGTATATACACTGTTAAGGCTGACATAGTGTCTGGTATGTATATACACTGTTAAGACTGACATAGTGTCTGGTATGTATATACACTGTTAAGGCTGATATAGTGTCTGGTATGTATATACACTGTTAATACTGATATAGTGTCTGGTATGTATATACACTGTTAAGGCTGACATAGTGTCTGGTATGTATATACACTGTTAAGACTGACATAGTGTCTGGTATGTATATACACTGTTAGGGCTGACATAGTGTCTGGTATGTATATACACTGTTATGACTGACATAGTGTCTGGTATGTATATATACTGTTAAGGCTGACATAGTGTCTGGTATGTATATACACTGTTAAGGCTGCCATAGTGTCTGGTATGTATATCACTGTTAAGGCTGACATAGTGTCTGGTATGTATATACACGGTTAAGGCTGGCATAGTGTCTGGTATGTATATACACGGTTAAGGCTGGCATAGTGTCTGGTATGTATATACACTGTTAAGGCTGACATAGTGTCTGGTATGTATATCACTGTTAAGGCTGACATAGTGTCTGGTATGTATATACACTGTTAAGGCTGACATAGTGTCTGGTATGTATATACACTGTTAATACTGACATAGTTACACTGTTAAGGCTGGCATAGTGTCTGGTATGTATATACACTGCTAATACTGACATAGTGTCTAGTTTGTATATACACTGTTAAGACTGACATAGTGTCTGGTATGTATATACACTGTTAATACTGACATAGTGTCTGGTATGTATATATACTGTTTAGCCTGACATAGTGTCTGGTATGTAAATATACTGTTAAGGCTGACATAGTGTCTGTTATGTATATACACTGTTAAGCCTGACATAGTGTCTGGTATGTATATACACTGTTTATACACTGTTATGACTGGCATAGTGTCTGGTATATATATATACTGTTAAGGCTGACATAGTGTGTCTGGTATGTATATACACTGTTAATACACTGTTATGACTGGCATAGTGTCTGGTATATATATATACTGTTAAGGCTGACATAGTGTCTGGTATGTATATACACTGTTAAGGCTGACATAGTGTCTGGTATGTATATACACTGTTAATACTGACATAGTGTCTGGTATGTATATACACTGTTAATACTGACATAGTGTCTGGTATGTATATACACTGTTAATACTGACATAGTGTCTGGTATGTATATACACTGTTAAGGCTGATATAGTGTCTGGTATGTATATACACTGTTTATACACTGTTATGACTGGCATAGTGTCTGGTATATATATATACTGTTAAGGCTGACATAGTGTCTGGTATGTATATACACTGTTAAGGCTGACATAGTGTCTGGTATGTATATACACTGTTAATACTGACATAGTGTCTGGTATGTATATACACTGTTAATACTGACATAGTGTCTGGTATGTATATACACTGTTAATACTGACATAGTGTCTGGTATATATATTCAATGTTAAGGCTGACATAGTGTCTGGTATGTATACACTGTTAAGGCTGACATAGTGTCTGATATGTATACACTGTTAAGTTTGACATAGTGTCTGGTATGTATATACACTGTTAATACTGACATAGTGTCTGGTATGTATATACACTGTTAATACTGACATAGTGTCTGGTATGTATATACACTGTTAAGGCTGACATAGTGTCTGGTATATATATTCAATGTTAAGGCTGATATAGTGTCTGGTATGTATATACACTGTTAAGGCTGACATAGTGTCTGATATGTATACACTGTTAAGTTTGACATAGTGTCTGGTATGTATATACACTGTTAATACTGACATAGTGTCTGGTATGTATATACACTGTTAATACTGATATAGTGTCTGGTATGTATATACACTGTTAAGGCTGACATAGTGTCTGATATGTATACACTGTTAAGTTTGACATAGTGTCTGGTATGTATATACACTGTTAATACTGACATAGTGTCTGGTATGTATATACACTGTTAATACTGACATACTGTCTGGTATGTATATACACTGTTAATACTGACATAGTGTCTGGTATTCATATACACTGTGAAGGCTGACATAGTGTCTGGTAATTTATATACACTTTTAATACTGACAAAGTGTCTGGTTTGTATATACACTGTTAATACTGACATAGTGTCTCGTATGTATATACACTGTTAAGCCTGACATAGTGTCTGGTATGTATACTCACTGTTAATACTGACATAGTGTCTGGTACGAATATACACTGTTAAGGCTGGCATAGTGTCTGGTATGTATATACACTGTTAAGGCTGATATAGTGTCTGGTATGTATATACACTGTTAAGGCTGACATAGTGTCTGATATGTATATACACTGTTAAGACTGACATAGTGTCTGGTATGTATATACACTGTTAAGACTGACATAGTGTCTGGTATGTATATACACTGTTAGGGCTGACATAGTGTCTGGTATGTATATACACTGTTATGACTGACATAGTGTCTGGTATGTATATATACTGTTAAGGCTGATATAGTGTCTGGTATGTATATACACTGTTAAGGCTGCCATAGTGTCTGGTATGTATATCACTGTTAAGGCTGACATAGTGTCTGGTATGTATATACACGGTTAAGGCTGGCATAGTGTCTGGTATGTATATACACTGTTAAGGCTGACATAGTGTCTGGTATGTATATCACTGTTAATACTGACATGGTGTCTGGTATGTATATACACTGTTAAGGCTGACATAGTGTCTGGTATGTATATACACTGTTAAGGCTGACATAGTGTCTGGTATGTATATACACTGTTAATACTGACATGGTGTCTGGTATGTATATACACTGTTAAGGCTGACATAGTGTCTGGTATGTATATACACTGTTAATACTGTCATAGTGTCTGGTATGTATATACACTGTTAAGGCTGACATAGTGTCTGGTATGTATATACACTGTTAAGGCTGACATAGTGTCTGTTATGTATATACACTGTTAATACTGCCATAGTGTCTGGTATGTATATACACTGTTAAGGCTGACATAGTGTCTGGTATGTATATACACTGTTAAGGCTGACATAGTGTCTGTTATGTATATACACTGTTAATACTGCCATAGTGTCTGGTATGTATATACACTGTTAAGGCTGACATAGTGTCTGGTATGTATATACACTGTTAAGGCTGACATAGTGTCTGTTATGTATATATACTGTTAAGACTAACATTAAGTGCTTTGTCTTGCTATTGTGTACGGAAGCGTATTCCGGCCACGTTGTGTTTTATCTTATCTCGAAATTTCGAGATAGCAGCTTAAAATTTTGAGTTAGTAACTCGAAATTTCGAGTTAGTAATCCGAAATTTTGAATTAGTAAGTCGAACCCGAAATTTCAAGAAAAATAAAACTAAAAAGATATACGATATGCTTTTGGTATTGTGAAATGGGTGTTACACTGCGGAATATATTGTGCCATGCACCTTTGGTATCGTTTTGGAGTGTTCAGTTTGTACTATTTTTGTTCTTTGTTTCAGTGTTCATTGCCTGCTGGGGACCATTCACCTTTTACTCCATACTTCTCCTGTATCGTGTAGTACCAATAAATGGATCCTACTTTATCTTAATGTCCCTTGCACCACTCAACAGCGTGGCTAATCCGGTGGTGTTCCTGCTCTTCAATTACAGGACTCTGTGTGAGCGGAAACGGAAACACCGACAGGATATCAATGCCACTTCCACCACCACCAAGGCTACCTTCACCACCTATATACACAAAGATTCGGATTGGTCGAAAAGTTATCCACTGTCACGTGTTCATTAATGTGACGATGTTTTGGAATGTGGCAAACTTGGTGACTCTTGTGTGTGATCATTAGGATTCGGGTTTATCAAAAGGTTATCAAATGTACATTTATGCTCCTTGATTAGTCAAACTACTACCCAGTACCTGAATGACACTGGTAATATTGTAATGCTTTATTCTGATTAAGATTATATTTTCAACTACCTGTAGTTCGTAAAGGTTTAGTCGGCTACTTCCTTGTTTGCTATTTTATCGAATCTTTAACATTCACGTCAAACGTGTAATATTGTATCGTTTGTTAAAACCAACTCCGACTATGTTTTGACAATTTTTATAGTGCTTTATGGAAAGGAACACTGCTACGGCACATTAACAATTACAAAGAAGAACAGAATCAAGATCTTGCATGAACCTGCAACAATTGTTTTTTAAACTTCATTGTCTTATTTACAAATTTACAATCTGGATAAATATACACTAATGAACAAAAATGAAGCGTTTGTTTTCTTTATTTCTATGTTCTATATATAGAGCATTTTTAGATGATTCTTGTTTGTGCAGAAACTGCCATACTTACATTTATTTAATTTTGCGAAATTGAAAAGTCTCTCCTCTATTTAAAAATGAAATGATGGGATCAATTTTCAGTCCTCTACTTTATGATTATGCAGCTACTCGGACACTCGTGGTAATCAAACAACACATTAGCATTTACTGTGCTTTATTTCTTTTCACTCTTCCGATTCTTAATGAAGTACGATATGATACGCATCCTTTCTACTCAGGTTAAAAAGGAAGCAATGTACAAGGTACCAAGGAAGACAAGCTGATATTGCTTGTTAAATGCAAACAACATATCAAAAGAGAGATCAACGTAACATCTAATCTCTATTTTGCTTCATGTATCATTCATTCAACAAATATGGCGTTCTCCTATGGCGCGGATCTGACGCATAATGTGTGTTTTACATTCTAGAGAAATATACAATTATATATCATTAATTCCCTCTCTGTCCAAACAAGTATCAGGAAAAACTGAGATAATTACAGGTATTATATTTTTTGTAAACATCTCATTCTCCTCCATTACATAACAGTCACGTCATTCATTTTTAGTACCTAATATGACGTCATAAATCAAAATAAAATGTAAATTATTTGCATATATGTACTTGATGAGTAGGAAGACCCTTAGCTAAGGTAGCGATAAGAAGTAAGTAATAAACTAGATTTTTTTCGTTGCCGCAAGTAGTAAGAACGAAGCAAAAATAGATATGTTATTGGTTTCGATTTTGTTGAGTATAAAACGTTTCGTGTGTTTTTTGTTTTTGTTTTTGTTTTTCCTGAATTCACAGGAGGCTCGCTCTAAGAACACAATGTTTAAAATGAATTTCATTTGAAATCAACACACTTGTCAAGTAAGGGATACTTACATCTGTGTATTGAGAATCAACAGAGATTATAGAATCCCACACAGTAGGATCAAACATTGCAGATTAATTTTTCCTTCACCTTCTCAGCATTTTTAAAAAGAAACCTTCTTAGTAGAATTAATTTATTACATATTAAAACAAGAAAATGCCGGCATGTCAACATAATCTGAATCCAAACACAAATTCAATAAAACTATGGCAACATATAAACAAAAAAGATCTACCCGAAAACGTAGACGGAAAATAAGACCAGATGTTCCGGAGGAGTGTGCCTCTTCTGCTTTGTCGACTACACCCGCCATGTAAACCTTGGTCAATCCAAGAAAGTAACATCACATTCTCAAATGAGAACAAAGTATAAAATAACTAACAGGTAAACTAACGAGCATCAGGCACGTTCAGTTCCATATCTCACGAAGAAATTAAATGTAGGGGAATTGGCGTAAAAAATAACAAAACAAAAAAAAATACTTGGAAACTCCTGAAAAAAAAGTATTAGGATAATCTCCTTTATCGATGATAACTGCGTACAAATATTTGAAGAAAGCAATGTCACGTTCCCAAATGAGAACAGGGTAAACAACAACGGAAGAGACAGGTAGATGTATACGTACATGTGAAAAGCACATCAAACATTACATCGCAAAAGCCAATAGAATATATCCTAATGATATTATTATGACAGTAAAACTTTCCCATCAGTTTCATTAACCTGCATTTCTGTAACCCTGTGTTGTGAATTTGTCTGTCAGTTACCGACATCTTCCAAGAAATTCATGATATTCAAAACAAACCCTTGAATATCTAATCAACTGCAACAAGTAAGCACCATACGTTTGGAATGCAGGTATGTTTCTATCCAGAAATGGATAAACTACAAAAGGGAAATTGAAATCATTACGCTTTTAATGCAGCTTGGTACAACACTCTCCTTGGTAAATCAAGGCATCGATCTAGGCAATTTATTTATGTTTTGTTTCCAATTCAGATCTCTATTTTATCATTTTAGAATCCTCTTAACTGCAGAGTAATCGTTATTGCGACTGTAAATTGTTAAGCGTTATGCTGCATTGGTTTATCTTTGTTATGTCGGTCTACATACTTTTACATGTATGGCATTTATCTGAAAACCAAATGCCTCAGTGACCTTGGTTTCAAAACGTATAGACAACGTTAATAACCGATATGATGATGACGGTATCTGTGACTTTGTTGTGTTTATTGTTTTGCTGTGTTCTTTGACCAGTTAGCTGTGTTCAGGCGTCATCTCATTGTAGATGGTGATAACATATTATCTGAACCATATACAGGAGACCACTCGTATGTCAGTTATAGCAAATGGAGTGGGATTTATTTCTATTGACACTACCATATCACCAGAAACCCGTCCGTTTCTCAGCTTCCTTGGCAATTCAAATCGACACAATTATATCATCATTAATATAGGTAATTGGAAGGATCATTTTACCATGATGTGTGATATGTTTAAAACAGTGTGTCTTAAAGTGGCATGCTACTGAACAATACTGTACAAAGCACTAGTGTCTACATACAGAATCATAATTATAAACAATGTGAACTGATATTGGGCACCGCTTTCAATCATTGAGGCCATTATGTCAAAGCATATAATGGATCTGTTTGGTATAATAAAACGTACAAACACTAAGAACACAAATTCGATAAGATCACTGACAATAGTAGCTCCGCCGAACGGATTTGGAATATGTAAACATGCATGGCATTGAATCACGTATAGGTTATAATTGGGTACTGAAACGGAAATCAGTTCAATAACAATTATATCGTTTTTATCTAATTATTGTCTGTCATATTTACGTCTGATTTTATGTAGAAAGTGCGAAATAAAAGAAACAATAATGAAAAATAATGACATGTGAACAGAATTTTTATTCAAATTCAAATTCTATGATACTGGGTCAACGACACTTCGACTCACGTCATGTAAACCTTGTAATCCAAGTACGTAATGTCACGTTCTCAAATGTATCAAATACGTCCAACTTCATATTACACAAGAAAATAGAATATTTCCTGATGACGACTGTGAAACTTCCCCATGATCTTCATCAGCCTGCATCCCTTGAAACCATTCTTTATTTGTTCAGTTATCGACATTTTGTACGAAAGTCGTAATATCGGGAACCCGACCGTGGATATCTTATCGTTTGCGACATTGAAACATAAGTTAAGGAATCATGGATGTTGGTATCCAGAAATGGAAAATTCACAAGAGGGAAATTGAAATCATGACGCTTATCATACTGCTTGATTGAACATTGAATTCGTTATAGAAAAAATCAAGGTAGTTATTCTGACGAATGTTAATATGTTTAATATATATCTGATCCAATTTTAATGTCTGCAAATAAAGGATGTATATGAATAAATTGTTTTCGCTTCTTTTTACAAGTTATAATGTGGAATCAATATAAAAAGTGATTGTTGAAATCAAGGTGAGAAATTACTTTTGGTCCTTTAATGTCGACCGAACACGTGTGTATTTAACAAGTGATTGCCCTATGCTGGAATCATAGAATATCTGTCCTGAAGGTTGCCGAACAAGGAAAACTTATTTTTCTGAATTGATATTTGTAATCGGTCACTTTTTTGTCAACCCCAAATCATCTTTAAGATATTGACCGTTATGTACTTTATGCTGTTTTTAAATATCAGATATATAAATATTACAAAATTTATTGAGTAACAGAGTCATTGCACCTTCCCATTTATATTCTGACTTCTCTTACGATCACTTTGAACTTCCTTCAGTTGCTTGCCTCACTCTAGCAGTTAGGCAGGTTGCCATCCATTCAATTATAATATTAATATTTTACAAAGGTACCTAAATAATGTAAAGGCTTTTCTTGACGTTCAATGTATCCAAAGAGAAATTTGTGCACCTAGTATTACGGAACGTATGTATCTTGTTTTGTAAATGATAGAGTATAAAATGGCAGTTATTTAGATTAGATTTCAATTGGAATAGATCAGGACAAAAAGGAAACGTCTATATTGATATATGTAGATGGATATACACACATATACTACATATCGGTTTTGCGTCAAATAATTCTAGAAGATCGAATATCGTTTGATGCTTAAGCAGATAGACTGTCATTTGAAAGAAACATAATTCATTAAAAACTGGAATATGAGCGTTCTCTTTTCGCTAAGTGTAATTATAGTTTTCTTTCAAATGAATTCAGCAACGATGCTGAACGACAAGTACAGAATTGTTTTAAGGACAAAGGAGCAGAACCATGTTGGATCAGTCATACAAAGGTTGATCAGGAGGTCAAAGATCGGATGCGCTATCACGTGTAACTTGCCCCAATGTCTGTCGTTCTCTTACAACTCTGTCACACGAGAATGCAAGACTTATGGGGATGAAATTTGTTACCATGACGACGGTGCTATGTCATCTTCACTAACATTCTACGTAAGGAATGTGAAGAGTCTACTTGGAGGTAAATATGTTTTAAACTCTACTTAAAAATTTAACTCGAATGCATGCATTGTATCGTCTAAATAATAAAAAAAAAATATTTTCATAATATGATAATAGAAAAATAGAACATTATATTAAATGTTTGTAAGTGAAATACTATTTAGACCCGACTCTTAACGAGTGCACAGTTGCAACGGATCCATAATGAAACCCTTGGTGAAATGATGCATGATTTACAGTATTTGTGCTGAAATATTTAGTTAGTTTATATGTAGATATGTAGCGAAGGACATTTCATTGAGGTTTCACGGATATCACAATTTTTGTTTATTTTATGGTATGTGTATAAAGATTAAGTAAATGTGCTATGATAGATTTGCATTGCAAAGAATGAAATATTATGACATTTAAAACACTGATATATCCGTTACTTTCTCCGTCAAACAGTTGTCATGGCCAACATATATAGAAAAATGACGTAAAGAATAATCAACTTGTTAGACTTTTATAAATAGTTCAAGTCATTTAGAATATACCCGATTCACAAACTACTATGTCTTCTATAAGCCGTTACCTGTGTATATTCAAGGAATATACAAAAGACACATAGGTGACAAACACTTAACAATCTACGTCTTTGTCATATCTGCTTGCAAAGATCTTACACAAGGTCTGAAAAATACCTATGGTTGACTATTTGTTAAGTACTTACAAATAAATCTTTAAATATTGGCAATACATCTTGTTATGATAATGTAGTAAGTTACCAATATCTACCCGATTTCAATTCCCTTTTCCTCATGGAGAATTCAAACCGAAATACTTGTAAAAACGACCTATTTTCTTTTTCGAAACAGTTATATGATAACCTTGATTATCATAACATATAGATATGTTATTAATAATTTTAGGTTGGAGTAAGAAAGTTAATTGTTAATGTAAATGATGATAATTTGAACGTTCATGACTTTCAACCAAAATAATAGTTGATGAAATTTGCATTAGGAAACGGGTAATATATGTTTGCAATAGGATTTTTGGATTGAATTTAATTTTTTTATTGTCGTGTTTTAAACCAATATATCAACGCTTTCGCGGTGATTATTATTGTGTGTTTGCGCAAGAAAAAGCAACACGGGAAGGACTGGTTTTATTCATTAGTAGTTAAAACTATCATAAGAAAACGTTGTTAATTTGTTTGTACATGACAATATTGTATATACCAACTGTGCTTGACTGTCACAACCGTGCTAAATTTCATCGCTCCACAAATGAAGATAAAATATAAATATTCCTTTCGACATTGATTTCTTTTGGGATAAATCAATATTGTAATATAGCTGTATGTATTTTTGCTGAAAAAGAAACATTTTGAAAAAAAATCAATAAATGTCCATGAAGGTGGCTTTGCAACAAGGAAATCGATGTATTCCTCGGTTGTTCATTAATTTATATGCACTTTCCTTGATGCCGTTTATGGAACAAAGTCAATAATGTCTACAACTCTTCGTTCATATTTTAGTTCTGTACCATCCAATATTTGAAATCGTCACAGAAATATATATATCATACGTCAGTTTTTGCATTATCTCGTCTATCAA